AAATTTGTGTTTTATTGCTTATGCAAAGTGTGGTGCCTTGAATTACATTAATATGGCTCTTCTAGTCATGGTCTTTGTGACTCCCACCAGATGACTGGGTGGGAACTATGTAAATATAAGGTACTTGTGACCCACCAAGCTTGTTAATAATGTAAATAAGGTACATGACATCCTTGTGAGGGGGGGACCATGCAAATAAGGTATATGGAACCCTAATGTGGGGACTGGTCAGTTTTGCCATCTGCTAGGCTTAAAATGAGCCATCCCAATGGTGGGAAGGGGGAATCTCACTATCATCAAGAAAGAAGAACCAGTATTGGAGTACATCCTTTGGACCCAAGGTCCCTGCATTGAACCTCCTCAACCTGGAAAACAGAGAAAGGCACTGCTGAGACAGGCAAGAGACGAGGAGCAGTGGAGAGAAATGGCTGCAGCAGAACCAAGAGACTGGCATGAGATAGAGTGGCAGGCTTCCTGGCCCATGGAGTGAGAAAGCTGAGTGCCTTTGGGCAGGAGGCTTGCTGGCAGAGTGGGTGCCTCTCTGGGCACCTATCAGCAAAGCTAAAAGCTATGTGATATTTGCCAGAGTAGGGCAGAGGCAGCTGAGAAGACTGTCCTGATTGAAGAACCATATCCTGAGGAGTTTCCGATCGTGAACTGTAATCTGTTACTTTCCTTTGTTGTTGTTATGTGCCGTCAAGTCAGACCAGACTCGTAGGAACCCCTCCTTGGATTTCCGAGGCAGTATCATTACGGAAGTAGATTGCCCAACCTTCCTTCCAAGGAGTGGCTGGTGGGTTTGAACCACCAGCCTTCTGGTTAGCAGTCAAGTGCCTTAGGCACTATGCTACCAGAGCTCCTATGTTACTTTCCTAATAAACCCCATAATCGTGAGTATTGCCTGAGAGTTCTGTGTGACCATTGCAACGAATTAATGGAACCCAGCAAAGAAGTAGATAGTGCCATGGGCGGAGGGCCAGTTGCTGTCACACTGGTCAGAAGGCTGGAGGGTGGCGGCATGCCTGATCTCTGCTTCGAAGGACTCAGCCATGGGCTGCTGATGGCAATGGCGAGTCTCTCTCTTCGTCATGAAGTTCAAGGAGGTCAGGTGCTGCCCCCCCACCCTTTTGACACACAGGCATTTGACTGTGGGGATCACAGCAAATTATGGATAACACTGCAAAGAATTCCAGAACCCTTAATTGTGCCAATGAGGGACCCGGGCATAGACCAAGAAGCAGTCATTCTAACAGAAAAAGGCAATACTGCATAGTTCAAAGTCAGGAAAAGTGTCCTTAAGGGTTGTATTCTTTCACCATATTCATTCAGTCTATATGGTCAGTAAATAATCTGAGAAGCTGGATTATAAGAAGAATGTGGCATCAGTATTGGAAGAAAATTTAACCTACGATACATGGATGACACAGCCTTGCTGGCTGAAAGTGAAAAGGACCTGAAGCACTTATTAATGAAGATCAAAGACTACAGCTGTGGTCGTAAAGTCTGTGTGTCAACTTGGCTGGCCTGGCTGAGTGGCTGGGCAGTTGAATATAGTTATTCCCCATGATGAGACTGGCAATCAGCTCCATAGTGGGACCTACCACAAGCCATTGAGTAGATGCTTTAGGGATGAGGGCTGCTTCCCGTATATAAGAAACAGCTTTGGGAATGGTCTCTAGCTTATGGCACGCTTGAACTCTGTATGTGGCCGTGTCATTGTTCAGCAGCCTGTCATGTTCTGCCGACCTTAGGACTTTCAGTGGACTTAAATTAATGGCCTGCCATGTGGTTTGATAACATCGGGACTGTGCCTTTGTACTTGTCAACCTTGGGTTTGTCTGCCTCAGCAGCCAGCAGCTGTCCGAGTGAAGAGATGCCTCTAGCTCCAGTGGGCCGGGAGCAGGAGGCAGAGCTGAAGCCCAAGGTCAAGGGGCTTTCACCCAGACCCTAGAGCCTGGGCACTTTGCACTTGGACTTAAAGCTTCCAAATTGTAAGGATAAAGTCCAGTTTGTTCAAGTATCCCATTTGTGGTATATTCTTGTCAGAGCAGCACTAGGGAACCAGAACAACAGCCTTCAGTATGAATGACACTGTGGCATAAGGAGAACATACTGAAGTTGTCAAGGATTTCATTTTACTTGGATCCACAATCAACACCTGTGGAAGCAGCAGTCAAGAAGTCAAATGAGGTGTTGAGTTGGGGAAACCTGCTACAAAAGACCTCTTTAAAGT